ACTAGATTTTGGATGATTTTGGCCCTGACTCAGGTGGATCTCATCCTGGTGGATCTCGGGTCGCGGTCGAATCCCGCGACCGCCGCGTTTCCTTCGGAACGGACGCGCCGGCGCCCCGATCGCCGGCGCCGAGATCGCCGTCGCGGGGCCGGCGCAGCCGCCGCTTGCTGCGGGAACGCTTGCATGGCTACAGCTGAGGCCGGTGCTGTGTTCTGGGATCATCAAGATGAAGATAGTTGAATATATAACTATATATATATGATTATATATGTATAATATTATCATATTGTTTGGCAATGTCATATTTTGTTTTTTTTGGCACACAAAATGTATCTGCATAAAAAGGTATCCGGAAAAGAGAGGGAAGTGCTTGTTTTGGTGTTTCGAGATCCAGAACACTGGCAACATGCCAATGATCGTAGTGCGCACTGAATGATGCTGAATGACAAAGAGAAAAACCGGAGCAGCTCCATATCATCACTCAGAGGACAAACTACCCTCTGGTTATGACTAACAGTTCGCCATGGACACCATGGCCCATAGAAATAGATGGTTTACCTCTTAAACATGGTGATTTTCCATGGCTATGTTAGTCATAACCAGATGGTAAATACACGTTACTTCCCCTATTTTGTTGGATCATTTCGGATCAATCAACCTGACTTGGGACGAAGACCAGAGGAGCCTTTGTCGTGGTGCCACACATGCCACCGGTTTCCACAAAATTGAAGAGGGAAGCTGCAAATTGCTGGCTGGAAGATGTTTCACATGGCATACACATTGAATTTGGACCATCTTGGATTTGCATCCCAGATATAAAACTGTACATGATATTTTTTGTCATATTATATAAGACATAGTAACCATGTCACTATGCAATTGATGGCTATAAGTTTGACACAAGTGGATGGCTATGGTCGATAGCACGCTGAAACCGCAGCTTGGTTCAAGCTTGGCACCTCCAGTAGCCCCAAGCCGCCACAGGAATCCGGGCCATCGTGGCCCCTTTGAAGGTGAAGCTGGGGGAAACCGTGGGAATTTAGGGATGAGAAGTTGCGATCTCTGCTAATCCTTACGTCCTTTTTTAATCGATGTTCCAAATGGAAAGCGTTCATCATCGTTCATCCATTTGCGTCCGATGTGATGAAACATATTCATATCAACCAACCACATTATTGCGGGATCATACTATATATTAATATATCATAATCCCATTTCCATGCGAAAAAAGTATCCCCAAGTGTCTTTTGGCGGCGCCAACGTTTTTTTGGTGACCCCTTTCCCAGCCGCCCCAACGGTGGGAGTGGGAGGAGATGCCGAGCGTGGGTTGCAGTACTTGCCCGAATTTGGCCCGTGGCAACCTTGGTGAGGTCGGTGAATTTATACAATTTCTACACAAAGATCAAGGAAAATGGGGTGATTTTAGGGACTAACCATGATTAACCAAGTGACTATTTGATCAACATTCCATGATGACATTTCACAGTGCCATTCCATGTTGGCCGTTCCAAGCACAGCATAGATATACCACTGCACTTTTTTTGCCATCACCTTTTTGGGAACGTGTCCCTGACATTGGAACGCAACGGTCTCCCACTATTGCTTATTGCACGCTGTTGGTTTCTGTGCAGCTGTTGGTTCACAGTCCTTAGGAATCCAGAACGTCGGAACAAAAATTTGGCGAACTTTTAGCCCGCAAAGCCTCTGAGACCGAACCCCAACATCTATTGCGAAAGTTTGGACTTATCCAAAATTGGTTACCATGGGATCTATGGGAAACCTCATGGTTTGGGGTACCCATATTTTAGGACATCCCAAATTCAAAATTTCGATGGTTTATCATCATTAGATGGCCAATTGATCAATTGGATGATATACCCCATTGTCAGACACAGCCATTGCCCACGATTTCATCGATCTTTCCCGTGCCATGGCCCATGTGGTCCGTACACCGCTGGAAGCCAGGCAATGTAGAGATGAACTCGCCCTTGATCTGTACAAAATCTCCCAAAACCATATAAACCATGGTAAAACCACCAAGCCTGAACGAACTCTGACTTTTCATTGACTTTCTTTGGGTCGTCTGGCAACTTCCAGCAATTTTGAGTTCCCAATTTGGAAATACTAGCCTAGGGTGATCATGGGTGATCCGCATATTGGGATGGGTTGAAGCAGTTGAAGCCCCAAAAACTTCTTCCGTTCAAGTCCCTCGAGTCAGGCAACTTGCCTCGCGTCCGAAGAGTTTGTGAACGGAGGTATCAAAAGAAGCAGGCCTCCGATGTCCTGCTGGTTTTTTTTCAATGGAGTTTTCCATGGAGTTTTCCAGGACCAACCGATGGTTGGTTTTTTGGAAAATCATGGATCGATCTTCGCTGATTACCCTCTGGTAATTTAACGGTTTGCTATTGAAAATGGCCATTTATAGTGGATTTACCCATTGAACATGGTGACTTCCCATAGCTATGTTAGTTTACCAGAGGGTACCTGAGTACAATCGCGAAATCGGGGCAGAAATCGCCATGCCTTTCTGAGCGTCTGCTCAGGGCGTAGACACCAAAAACCTGCCTTTCTTGGTGCACAGGACTGGCAGATTTGTTGCATCAGATTTGAAATTCATGGGTCCATGGGTGACGGGATGGGATTTCCAGTTTCCTTCGCACTATCCGCTATCCCACATCATATGAGGTACTTATCCAGGATTTTCTACATCTGTCAAAAACAATGTAAAATCTTTCAAATCGCAGCATGGATGATCTGGGAACATTGGGAACGACTGGTAGGACTCCCTCGGGGAATTTACCAGTGTACGTGGAGCCAACACAGAAGGGTGAGAAGTTTACACGCATCCGAAGGCCTGGTTTTATGGTGGTGGTGGACTGGGGTGACTTCCCCTTAAAATGACGTCATCTAAGTCATCTACCAAGAGATAGAACAGTGATTTATCCCTACTTTAGTGGGATTTCCGTTTTTTTTTATCTTTTTGGGGAAAACTGGATAATTATTAATTGTGTTGGATTAGTTTCGTTGGACGGGCTTGGGAACTGCGCGGTTTGTGCCCAACTGCACCACGGTGGAGGTCCGGGAGACACAGGGGGAACATGACTGGAGTTCATTGGGGCAACTTGAGTCCCTGCATTCATGAAGGCTTGTGAAAATAGGAGCATCATTGGTGAACAACCCAAAGCTTACGTCACATATAAATATATATATATGTCTATATAGAGTGGATTTGCTCAGTACTCGTACTCAGTGGTTCCAAGCATGTTTTTCCAAATTACACAATATCTTTGGAATTGGCCAAGCACTAAACACCAGAGGTTGGCATCCCATAAGCTGCTGCAACAGGGTCTTTGGCGATGCACAACATTTGGCCAACGAGGCCTAAGGGATCCTCTTGATGCACTGGGAAAACCCGGTAGTAACATGTGGTAACCATGGTAACCTGCAATAGTTTGGCATGGAACATCACCGTTTTTGGTCTCGTCATGGGCCATAGCTTCCATAGCTATGTCTTGGAACATCTTGGAACCATGGGCAGTAAGTCTCTGATTCTTGGGGAGACTCCCAATACCTTTTGGAGTCTCCAAAAGGACAAGTCTTATCTACTAGGGTCCTTCGCAAGTGCTATGATCACCCAAGCCAGCGGCTTTAGATTCCACAGAGCCCTCCAGTCCTCAAACATGGCAATGGGAAATCCACGGTTGTTGTTGGAATATCAACGAAACTGTTTTGAAATTGGGGATTTTCCGCGGTGTTTGATTTATGGAGAGTATATAATATATAGATCATTTAACTCAGCCATATGGGATCATATGGGTGGGCTTGTCTCCAAATATTGGAATTCCATTCCATACCATTGGACCATGGTCCCTAAGATCATTTTCGCTATTCATTGAGATGGTACCCACAGAAATTGACAAATTGAACCCATGTTGTTGGTGAGACATATCGCATGATATTCCCGGAAAATAGTATGTGTGTGTATATACGTATATATATACATGTATATATATATATACACAGGATTATATAGATAATTATAGATACTCTAGATCATAATAGATCTTCATTTTTATTGGTTAGATCACTTGAAGCGATTTTAATTGAATGATTCTGAAGCATAAACATATTCTATTGTAGAGTTAGATCTTCATATCTTGAGATGCTGAATTTCCCCCGTGTAAACGGCAACAAAGCGGGTGGATCCTGCCCCCGTCCCACGGTCCGAACAAGGTGAGCCGGCTCTGCGAGAGTTCGGCGCGCGTGGGCAGAGGTGGGCGCAAGGCGGTGGAGGCCCAGAAGGGTGGCATCCACTCGGGTCCTTTTTTTTTTGGGAGGAGTTACAGTCATTTAACTGTTTAACTAGTGATTTTGAAGTGTTAACTGAACTAATTTAATTATATAGTGATATTGAAGTGTTAACTGTTCAACTATATAGTGATATTGAAGTGTCAACTGTTTTGGTTGGTGTCAACTGATGTTTTGACTGATATTTTGGACCTTGGGTCCAATATAAATTTTGATATATGTTGATCGTTTAAGCAACTAAAGTTCTTTTTTGGTGTCTCAAGTATTGGGATAGACAATGATGAATATGAATTGTTGGGAGTCACCATCGCCCCCTACCATCCTGGTGCCATGGTCAAGTTGGATTGGAAGCCATTGTTAGGATTCCCACTGTGGGATGAATGACCATACCCCGCCATGTTTTGACCTTGACAGAAATTGGGTTAAACATGGGGGTTGTCCACGGCAGCCCCGACTTGAACTGCAGGTCTTAGGGGTCCACGAGAAAAGGATCAAGGACTGCAGATGCGTCCAGTGTCCAGATGCCAGGGGCGAAATGCCACTTCATGCCCGAGTTTAATGATTCAAGTTGTCCTGCAACTGGGGTTGTAAGTAGAATAAGCACAACAAGCGGACTAGTTTAGGTGAATTTTATTGAAGCTTCATCCTACCAATTTCTCTTCGCCCAGTTGAGGCGCATCAATCGTGTAAATGGGCGCTGATCCAAACGTGCTTTCCATGGCAGCAATATGTTCCGCAAAGGGATTGCTCCATTCAGAAGGAACTTACTAACCGTCGATCCTGGCCACCACTTCAATGTCAAGCCCGGATACAAATGGGCAGAATTGCATGGCCCTTTTTTTGGGGATAATCCGAAGAAGTTGCCGCAAGGAGTGGCTTCAACATCTGGGTCTATGACAGGAGGACAGTGATGGCAGACGTTTTTCAGCGGCACCAAGGTCGGCTTGGAGTCAGAGTCCAACGTGGCGCGACTGCTTGGAGTAGCAGTCACACGCGGGAAATCCATGCTGAGTTCGATTGGGATCTGCCAATGGTTCGACTGGCTGAAGTGCAACTGTGCAGAAAAGGGGTGGGTGCAGACTGCTGCTGGAGATGACAACACCAGTTGAACCGGTAGTTCTTTTAATGAGATGCGCAAATTTCTTCTGTCCTTGCAGCAATTCCACCTCAAAGTATTCAGAGGGGGTTATCTTCTTTTAAAAGGACTAGCCAGACTAACATGCGTTTATGAAAGTCGGCAAAGTTGTTGTTTTTGATTTCAAAATTTCTACAAGTCTGGAAGCCAATGGATTGTTTAACATACGTTGGCCTCATTTGGCCTCCATTGGTGGTTCTAGTAGAAATTCATAGAAATGATATGTGTGATGTTAGCATCCTGACCCTCATGAAATCACTGTCCCTTTGCCCATGCATTGGCAGCGCAAAGGTCTCTTCCGATGCACTCTGCAGCCCGACCCTGCCGTGGTTGAAGCAGGGCTTCCAAGTGCATGTCGAGCTCCGCAAAGCCGTGGCATGGACGTGAAAGACATGCGATTTTCCGCCATTAAAATTCACTAAAGTTGGAATTTTGAGGACATGCAATTCCTTCCCCTTTTTTTGATGTCTATTTTTGGTACCCTCTGGTAAACTAACATAACTATGGAAAATCACCATTTTTCATGGGAAAATCCACTATAAATGGTCATTTTCAATAGCTATGTTAGTCATAACCAGAGGGTATCCACCATTTTTGCTCAACCCACCTGAGCCTAAAAAATCATAACGACCTCGCTGCGTCACTTTGGGGTAACTGGATCCAACGATCCCATACCATACTATCGGCCAAAAAAATGATCCTCATTTCATGTTGGTTTTCATTATTCAAACTTATGAAATATCATGAAATATCTATGATTATCTATGTATTTCTGATAAATTTTTATCCATGATGCTATATCTATGATTCATATGATATTCATTTAAGTATGCCATGGTGATATAAACCAAGGTGGACCGAACAAACATCCGTTTTTTGCGTTGCGCTGCGCAGGTGGCCAATGCCATCTACGAGGGTGGCAAAGTCGATGGCGTCGCGGGCCTTGAAGTAGTCCCTCGACTCGACATGACTTGGTGAACTGGGATCTATGGAGATCCCGCTTCGCCAGTTGTTCGATGAGAAAAACATGGGGAGAACTCACTCTAGATGTGGAACATTTTACCCTCTGGTAAACATACAAAAAACTATGGAAAGATCCACCATTTTTCATGGGACAATTCACTATTTCAACTGGGCCATGTTCAATAGCTATTTTGACATAACCAGAGGGTAGTTGTGATGATTCTATAAAAAATTGCTGGGAGATGAAGACGCTAAAAACACAAAACGAGGGATCGATCCAGGGGATCCTCTAAAACTGGAGTCATGCTGGAAATTCTGACATTTTGTTGGGAAACCACCTAGCGGCGAAATGTTTAAACGATGTTCAAAAATGGCGGTTCAAACATAGCCTCTGGTTATGACTAACATAGCCATGGTATAGATGGCCCTAATCGAACTAGATGCTTTACCTATGAATAGCATGGTGGATCTTTCCATGGCAAACTGTTAGTCATAACCAGATGGTACAATCTCAATGACACTCCAGAAACCTGGAAAACCTCGGTAGTTTTTAGGGCCCAAAAGCTGGCGGCTTTCAGGTGGCACACATCATACAGAACCGATGCAGTCGAGAACTCGGAGAACTCGGAGAACACAAAAAATGCCCACTGGAGAACAGGTTGAATTCGAGACGGTCAATTCATGTTCCCAGACGGTCTAGGTACTTGTCTTGTCTTGGTGACTGTTATGTGGGTCTTGTATGGTCTTGTTGTGTCTAGGAACCAAACTTCACGAAGCGGGGCGCGGTCAAGCGAGGTCACTCAGCCTTCCCAAGCGAGCCAAGAAGCGTTGTTCGTTCAGGCTTTTTTTTGGGTCCATCGGCAAGCTGTTTAAGGGATGTGCCTGAGTCATTGGGAGGAATCCTGATGTTGGTGACATTGATTGCTTCAGAGCTTCAGATACTATCTGATCATATTTCAATCATATTTCAATATTTCGCTATTTCGCACTTTCTGAATATCTGAGCTCGTTTTTTCTATCTATGAGGAATCTTCAATGCTGATTTTGGAATCCTCAGGAGAAAAATCCTCCAAGTGATGACCATCTTGACCCACTACTTGGTGGCGAACTAGCCACTGCTCGTAAGTGGGTTATAACCCCAGTTATAAATGGGATTTTTGTAGGGTTAATCCACATCAATCACTGGGGTGAACTAACCCACTTACGAGCCGTGGGTAGTTCGCCACCAAGTAGCCATTGACTTTCTGGTGGCTCTGGAGCTTGGATAGCGATGAAAGCCATCGACTGGCGGCGATGGAACCATGAGCAAACACATTCCGAAGCCCCGAAAAGGGGAAATGGCGAAGGGGATACATCCACTGCCAGGACAGATGTATTTCAAGATATTTCAAGATTTTGATCAAAACCATTGACTGAAAACAAGTTGAAACTCAATTTTGAAGAGAACACTAGCTTCAGATCCAAGGACACATACAAACTCAGCATTTGTACAACTTTCCAGCCTTTCCATCTCTGGCTCATCATGGAGGCAGGGGTTAAACGGGGAAACCAACAGCTGCAGGTTCCAGTTTTACGTGACTTTGACATCAAAACATATTTAAACAAAAGACCTGAACTAACAAAGGCGACAAAACAGGATTCCCAAGTCGTTGTTTGTTTTTGTCGTGCAGAACATCATCCTGCATGGTTCTAGATTCAATTTTCTGGATCCATGTGGTCGATCATCGTCCCTGCTGAATGGTACCCTGGGACGTATCCCATTCGACCCATTCCGAAGGTTTTGGAATGGGCGTATCGACCCATTCCCAGGATTTCCCACTGCTGGCTGTATGTATTCAGGTTGCAACTTGGTTGAATACTTTAGTGATACTTTAGTGGTTGGCCTAAAAATAAGGCCAGACAGGGGGAAAAAATCATAGCCCACATATAAACATGTTCATTTTGTGCGGGATTCCTGAGAGTTACCGTGGAAACAGTATGGAACATGATAGCCAGCTAAAAGTATTCGTTTATTTGCAGGGGATTTGAGCCTGATTGAGATTGACCATGTTTGCCTGGTGGTTTCATATATATATAATTATAGATTAATTGTATTATATTATATTATACTATATTATATTATATTACATTATATTATATTATATCATATTATATTCTATTATATTCTATTATATTGTATTTTAATATATATATATATATGTTATGTATATATATATATTAATATTATTATTATACATATATTATACTGTATACGTGTTTCAACTAAAACAACTATATTCAGGCTGATGATCCTTGGCTCAACCACCAAGCTCCAGGTGGACCCTGCAGAAACCTTGAGCCCTGACAGCCGCAGGTGGCGAAAAACATTAGACATTTCCCATGGAAATCAACGGTCATGGTGATTCAATGGACAATTTTTCATGGGTGAAATCATGGGAAAATGTACATTGGGAATGGACATGGATCCTATGAGAATGGATTTTTTTCGACATGGACATGGAAATTCAGGTTTTTTTTTCGACATCGACAATGGATCTTGGGTGATAAGGAAAAAACCTATGGATGAGGATATGGGATGAGGATATGAGATTTTTTCGACGGGAAAACATAGGGATTGAAACCTATGATTTATGATTTTCCAACATTCCAATTGTGTCAAGTTTCCTATCTTTCCCCCCTTGTCCAATGGGATATGGATGATTATGGATGTGAAAATGGGGATTGAACCAACAAACATGGGTTGCAATGAGGATATATACACATATATATATTTGTATAGTATATATATATAGCACACAACCAACAATATCACATTTTTGGGGAATGAACATCCATTTGGGAGCTATGTCATATTCACCAGGAGTACAGGGTGATCTTAAACCGAAAACATCATTCAAACCTGTGCTGTTTTGATGGTGGTTGATCACTTTTATATAATCCATTTCTGGAGGTGTAACACAATTATCTCCAAGTCTCAGATTCCATTGGTTGGTGTCAAAAACTTGTATCTTCGCGCCGGATTTGGTGAATCAACCTGAACAGAAGCAGAATCAAGCAGCACCTTGGAACAACACCAGGCAGAAGCGCAAGTCTGAACCTCCTCATGTTCAGCAGCCTGAGAGGAGGCTGGAAGACCATGTGGCTATGGCTTATCCTCTGGCTGGCCAATGCCGAAGTAAATGGGCGTTCAAATTAGGAGAATCTGTGAAGTAACCGGGGGAGTTTCCAGCAAAGCATGATTCATTAATATTAATGACATTTAATTACAAGAGGGTATCCAGTTGTCCCGCAGTGGTCCTTCCTATTGAAACAGGAAACATAATTTAACACAGTTTTTCGGATTATGTTGGTGGAACATTGGTCCAGCTTCACAATCTGAAACTCTTGCTGCTTGCATTGATTGCTGGCAGGATACAAGAGAGCTGGGAGTATCCCATGAGCAAAGAGGACGGTTTCCACCGCAGTACCGGACATGTTGGGAAGCTTGAACCAAGGTTGAATTCATGATGCTGCACCCTGGTTCGGGAATTGTGCTTTCAAGCACTTTCTTGTTGACACCATATCGCTTCCCAGTCAAGTGGGTCTTCCAAGAAATCTGTGGCTGAAGTGCCATCTGGCTTAACTTGGTCAGACTTCACTGTCTTGAGCCGTCTTGAGCTGAGTTTCGGCAAGGAAAAGAAAGACAGGGTTATTTTCCTCTTCGAGCAAGAGCTGTCGGAGGTTCCACTGTTGCACCCTGTCGCTAGTGTTTTGGTGGCTCACTCCCAAACTGGTTTTGTGTTTGTATTGAAAAACATCATCTTCGGATGATTCGATTCGAAGTTACTTCCCGCAATGGTGCCTGTGCACCATCAACGCAGACATAAATTTAGAGTCGCTTTTAAAAATGGAGCTCTCGCAGGGCAGTGAACGATCAGGTCATGGTTGTCTTATGTTGTCCTGTTGCCTTGCAAAACTTGAAAGGCCTCAAAGATGGACCCTTGGATGGTGTAGGAAAACTACAACCAGGTGGGTTTGAAACTGCTAGGCTCGCGAGGAGGAACAAGCAATGGATGTCGGGACCTAAACCAGAATGGAAAATTGGACGCAGGAGGCGACATCAAAACCACATGATGGACAGATTCAAATTGATGCATTGATATGGGTTTGCCTCAAAATTGAGGACATCCTAGAAATGATATTATTTACAAAATGGGCAACATTTTGATAAAGTCTGGGATAAACTGGGGTGCTGTTCCAAGTTCTGTTTTTGACCCCGGGGAAAATGGCTTGAACTTGGCCAAACGAGTGGACAATTTGTTGGTGCAGTGGGAACATCATAGAACTAACTGGAGGATTTTCAAGCTGACCATCCATAGATCCCCATAGAACTAAGTGGTCATTCAGATGGGCTCAGCTGCATCACGCAGAAACAGCTGAATCACGCGGAACCAGCGTTTGGCTTAAACCGTTGGTCGCAGGAATGTAGAACATCAGGGCAGGCAGCAGAAGTCAGCTGACCAGGCCCGAAATTTCAAGCTCAGCGCCCTGAAAAACCTGGGTTGAGGCACACAAGATCATGTGTCCCAAAAAAATTGTCTGCGATTCAGAAACTACTGAAGACAACATCACAGCAAAACGGACAGCATGGCTTGGTAAATATGTAGCATTTTGATGCATTTTGGGGATTCACAACACCTCACTGAGATGGTGGTTAGATGTTGAACACATGGTCTGAAGAAACTCAGGCCATGAAGCAGGTTCTGATCTGCAAAAAACCCTAGCAGCGCCATCTTCAGTTTGAGCTTAGCGCCATGGACAACGCGGAAAGTTTCGATCCAGAGCTTGAGGCATGGCATGGGCTCTCATGGAGGTTTTTTAAACCATACTGAACCGTTGAAGATGGATGCAAATGGCATGTGAAACACAGCAGTAGTAAAGATTCTTCTGCAGAAAAAAGATCAACAACGGTTGTTTTCGTGAAAAATCCATGAAACTCATCTCCAAAGAGGGGAAGGTTTCAGGTTGGGAACACATGCCTAAATCAGGGCCATCAGCTCTTGGTGGCCCACTTGGTTTACCTCTCGTCGCAGGCGGCCCTTGCCTTGTCTCGCGTGGATTTCTTTGGCGCTGCGGATGACGACTTGGCGCTGATCGCAGCGTTAGAGGCGTCTCAGGCGGATGTGAGGCAGGGAAGATTGGGGACTTTGCCAGGGATAGTGAAAGATGTTTGGGTTTACAGCCACCCCTAATAGCAGATAGACATGAGAATCTTCACTGTTGGCGATGGAGTGATGGTCTTTTCGGGGATGACTCTAAAACATGGATAAACCATGGATAGACTATATTAACGGGTATATATATATGTGTCATATTTTATCCCATTAACATATCTAGTATTTTCAACATCTTATTCGCCAAAGACTAATGTTGTTTAGACATGGCAAGTGGGGGATGATTGGATGAGTGGATCCACGACCTTTTTTGGTGATGTCACCATCACGGTGCGTTTTCTTTGGGAGGCATGATTTGAGGTTGGTGAATTTCTATTTATTTATTATTTATCAAGAAAACTGGAGAGTTTACCAAGCAAAACATTGCAAACATGTGGCAATGTTTTATGTGAATAGAACATGATCTAACATGATAGAACAGGATAAATCTGGATATTAGTTGATATTCACCAGTGAACATCCAGATTTATCCAGCTTCATACTTGATCCTCGTATCATCTCGTATCACTTCTTTCAGATTGGAGGTTCCGAATCTATTGAACTCGCCAGAAACTGGGATGAGGGTCATTGGGTTATAGCAACCAATAGATAGACCAGTTGGAAACCTGGAAATGATGGGCATCATTTTTTTTACTGCCGTCCTGGAAATACTCTTCTATCTTTTGGGGCTTGCGGCTTGCTAGAATACTATAGAATACTAGTATCGGGGAAATCTATGACTATCCCCCGCAATGGATAACATAGATCGGGGATGATTGGGGTTGTCAACCCCCAAAAATATCCTCGATGTCTCAGTCGCTATAATACCTCCAAGATATCCTGCAATGTTGTTGGTTGAATTGACTACCTGGACTTCCAGATTGTGCAAAACCATGGTGAATATCTAATATTCAGAAATTACCATCCTCAAGTGTTCAACACTATTCAACAGTCCAATATCTATGAATATCTATGAATATCTACATTATGACATTTGCAATATCCAGAAATTCGCATCCAGAAACTATCTATACATATCTATACCCATAAGTATTGACATAGGATCCTTAAAAAAAATCGGTCCAGGACGTCCGCTGACACAGACCTGGACCGCGCGCTTGAAGCTTCGCTGTCGCTTGGGAGCCACTGGATCTAGATCTGAAGAAATTTTGAGTGTTGGACACGTGAAAAAATGATGAGTTAATATACTTCAAGTGCTGGACATATATGCAGTTTCATGATACATATATATATATATATATAATGATATATATATATATAATGATATATATATATATTGATATTGATATATATATATATATATACATATAATTATTTATGCATATAATGATGTATATAGATATGTTTGATGTCATGAGTTGGCTGGGCCGTTTGTCAATAGCTGTGGCCGAGCCAGTCAAGACCGGTTCCAGCGGTCCTTTATTGTTTCAGAGGAATGTGGACATGGGTCAAGGAGTACAACAAACACACTCTACATAGTATATCACACACATATATATACACGTAATATATAACTATATATATATACACGCAATATATAACTATATATATAACTATATATATATATTATAACTATATATATATATTATAACTATATATATATATATATATATATTATAACTATATATATATATTATAACTATATATATAGATATTATAACTATATGTATATATATATATATTAATTAGTTAATTAATTATATAACTATGTATGTCACAATCACACACTATTCCACACCCTATCCCGCATCCACTTCCCTTCATGGCTTCCCAATTTCCATCCCTTCAGCTTCCCAGGTTTGCCTCCGCCCTAAGCGGAGACGAGGATCCCAAAGAGGTGGAAGAGGCGTTGATAGCCTCGCGGCAGGCGTGGCCTGGGCTCGTAGAAGGTGGCAAGGTGTGATTTTGGTCGGAGGTTTTCTTTTTTGAACATAACCATCAAAATATTTGGAGGTTTTCTCACCATATTTTGATTCTTCACCATTTTTTTGAACATCTACTTTTTTAAGACTTCGAATATGGTGAGATGAGAGGGAAATGCATCTATGAAGTTATGAAGATGTGAATGAGAAATATACAAAACCAACAAGACACTCGATTTAACAATCCCATGGGGATCTATCAAATCACAATGAAAATGTTTTTTTGCCCTTTTAAAAGGGCAGGCGGTCCAACTTTAAGCAGCAAACACGAAACTTTAAACCGCAAACACCCAAATCATGTGATACAAGCAGTTGGCTGACATTTGATATTTTTTAGGCTCGTCAGTAGGGCAGGGTTTAATTTCATGGATGAAGCAACAAAGCATTGAGTGTTTGGGATGAGTGACTTAAGCAACCAACAAGAAGTGGGATATTAACACGCCAAACTGCGCGTCCAAGAATTGGAGGGGCACGAAGCAGTATTGGTCTACTCCAATGTTGAATTTGATCGATCCTCTATTTCTAGGAGATCCTAATTTTTTGAGGAGACAGGGTGTTGCTAAGGGTCCTCTCAAGCTGATTGACAGATGGGTTGCCCTCATTGCCCGCCCAGCTGCCCCAGCCAGCAACTGCCAGGAACACCAGAAAGATGCCAAGAAGAGGGACTTGATCAGAAAACAGGAGAGAGATGAGTTTTAAAGCTCCTTGAAGATTTTTACCAGTATTCCCCAATGATTCTTTAATTCTCAATTCTTGCTCAATTCTTTCCCAATATTCCCAAATTTTCCCAATCTCCCCAATATTTCCCAATTTGCCGTTGCTTCTGAAGCGCAAGGAGGATGGGTCCGACCTATTTCAGGCCTGGTCCAGAAACACCGGCCACGATGGACAGCTGAAACGCAGCACTGATATCATATACCAGTAGTACCGCACAAGGCGGTGGCGGAAGTTTCAAAAATAGGAAACCTATAGGAGAGGTTGGTTCTTGTGAATCACGGATGGCAGAGCGAATCCACTGATAGACTGAAGGGTGGTTGGAGTTGTGTTTTTTGGAGTGGTTACAATGGTTGCAGTGGTCACCTGGTCGGTCACCTCACCCACAACTGCTGGATGTAGTGTGGTGTAGTGCAGCTGTAGTTGTACTTGTAGTGTGGCGGAGTTGTAGTTGTGGTGCAGTGTAGTTGCAGTTGCATTTGGTGGTGTAATCAGTGTAGTGTGATGTAATGTAGGGTAGTGTAGTGTCGTCTAGTGTGGTGTAGTGTAAAGTCGCGTAGTTATAGTTGTAGCTGTAGTTGTAGTTGTGGTGTAGTTGTGGTGTAGTGTAGTGTAGTGTAGGGTAGGGTAGGGTAGTGTAGTGGAGTGGAGTGGAGTGGAGTGGAGTGGAGTGGAGCGGTGGTTGTACTGTAGTTGAAACTGGCACCAAAACCATTTTGACAAGGTGCAGAATCCCCTGCGCCCGGCTCCGAACCCGTCAGTTTTTCACCAACAGCAACACTTTGCTGTGGGGTCTTCAGCCCAGATTAGCTCCGGTGCGATCCGGTGCAGCTTCAACACCAGGTTCCGGACAAGGTTCCGGAGGGTTCTGGCGCAGATGTTCCGGGGGTTCTGGTGCAGATACTTCGTGAGATTCCGGAGGGTTCCTGTGAAGATACCTGCTGAGGCTCCGGAGGGTTCTGTGCGGTTCCGGAGGGTTCCGGTGCAGATACCTTGTGATTTCCGGTGCAGGTACTTGGTGAGGTTCCGGAGGGTTACGGTGCGGATACTTGGTTAGGTTCTAGAGGGTTTTGGCGCAGGTACCTGATGAAGTTCTGGAGGGTCTATAGGTGAAGATGCGTGGTGAGGTTGCGGAGGGTTGCGGGGCAGATACCTTGGGAGGTTTCCGGTGTAGCTACCTGATGAGGTTCCGGAGGGTCTAGGTGAAGATGTGTGGTGAGGTTCCGGAGGGTTCCGGTGAGGTTCCGGAAGGTTCCGGTCCAGAGACCTTGTGAGGTTCCGGAGGATTTTGGCGGAGAAGATGCTTGGTGAGGTTCCGGAGGGTTCCGGTGCAGATACCTTGTGAGGTTCCGGAGGGATCTGGTGCAGATGCTTTGTGAAATTCCAAAGGGCTCCGGGCTCCGGTGTTTTTTTTATGGCATAAGCACCTAATTCCCGAATGCGTAGCAAGGGTTCCCGTTTCACTCTGGGGGTCTGGGGGTTGAGAGTGTGTTCGCTCGACGTTGCGTCCGCGTCCGCAACCGTTCGCAACCGTCCGCAACCGTCCGCAACCGTTCGCAACCGTTCGCAACCGTTCGTACGAACTCCGTATGGCCGTGCCTATGGGAAGTTTTGCAGAGGTGGTCATTTTTGGAGGTTTCAGACGTGTCGTTGCTTCGTTTCGCGTGGCAGGCGTGGCACTTTGTGACATTCAGACGTGTTTTGCAACGTGTTGAAAGTCGTTTCGCGTGGCAGGCGCAATACTTTTGCGACGTTTTCAGAAGATGTGTTGCAGTTTTCGTGGCAGGTGCAGCACTTTGGACGCGTCCATCGTCATTTTTCGTGGCAGGCGCAGCACTTTAGACGTGTCCTTTTGCGTGTTTTTTGTAAATTGCATTGGCAGGGCTGCGTCAAGTGGTGACAAGGTGCAAATTCCGTGGCAGGCGTGGCATTTTGTGACATGTGCTGAAAATTGACGGAAGCCTCGCACGAAACATCGATTTTGAGGTTACAAATTTTCAGGTTCTAAGGAAAACTCGTAGGAAAACGTCGATTTTGGAGCTGCAAAGTATGAAAATTGGAGGAAGTCTCGCACGAAATGGTCGTTTTGGTGCTCCCACCTGTCTCTTCGTGTCTGGTTTTCCCGTGGACCTCGCCGTGTCTATGGGGGAAGCTGCAAAACTTGTCTTTTTGTCGTGTTGCCAACTGTGAAAATTGACGGAAGTCTCGCACGAAATGCTCGTTTTTTTGCGCCCACGTGTCTCGTCTCGAGTCTCTGGTTTTCCTGTGGCGTCGCTGTGTCTATGGGGGAAGCTGGAAAACATGTCCTTTTCGAATGTTTCCAAGCAGGTTGTCATGGTGTTTTGCGTGGCAGGCGTGGCACTTTGTGGCATTCCAACCTGTTTGATAACATGTGGAAAATATCAAAATTGGCGGAAGTCTCGCACGGAATGCTCGTTTTTTTACACCCACGTGTCTCGTTTCGAGTCTCTGGTTTTCCTGTGGCGTCGCCGTGTCTATGGGGGAAGCTCCACACTCCACACTCCACACTTTACACTGCACTCTACACTTTCCACTCCTCGCTCCTCACTCTACACTTTACACTCCACACTTTACACTTTGCACTTTACACTCCTTACTTTACACTCCACACTTCACACTCCACACTTTCCACTCCACACTCCACACTTTACACTCCACACTCCACACTGTACACTCCTCACTCCACACTTTACACTCGTCGCTTTACACTCTACACTCCACACTCCGCACCCCACACTCCACACTTTACTGTACACTCCACACTCCACACTTTATACTTTACACTCCTCACTCCACACTCCACACTCTACACTCCTCACTTTACACTCCGCACTCCACACTCTACACACCACACTCTACACTTTCCACTCCAGACTCCACACTCTACACTTTACGCTCCACACTCCACACTTTACACTCCACACTTTACACTCCACACTCCACACTTTACACTCCTCACTCCACACTCCACACTTTACACTCCACACTCCACACTTTACACTACACTCCTCACTCCGCACTTTACACTCCTCACTCCACACTTCACACTTTACACTCCACACTTTCCACTCCACACTTTCCACTCCACACTCCACACTCCACACTTTACACTCCACACTCCACACTTTACACTCCTCACTCCACACTTTACACTCCACACTTTACACTCCACACTCCACACTCTAGACTTTACACTCCACACTTTACACTCCACACTCTACACTTTACACTCTACACTAAACACTCTACACTCCACACTTTACACTTTACACTCCACGATTTCCACTTTGCACTCCTCACTCCACTCCACACTTTACACTCCACACTCTACACTTTACACTCCACACTCCACACTCTACACTCCACACTTTACACTCCACGCTTTCAAAAACACTTTACATCCTCACTCCACACTACCACTCCACAAACTTTACACTCCACAACTCCACACTCTACACTCCACACTTTAACACTCCACACTCCACACCTACAATTCACACTCTACAATTCACACTCTACAATTCACTCTACAATTCACACTCTACATTCTACAAACTCCACACTCTAACACCCTCACGTTTACACTCCACACTCCACACTTTACACTCCACACTCCACACTTTACACTCCTCACTCCACACTTTACACTCCACACTTTACACTCCACACTCCACACTCTAGACTTTACACTCCACACTTTACACTCCACACTCTACACTTTACACTCTACACTAAACACTCTACACTCCACACTTTACACTTTACACTCCACGATTTCCACTTTGCACTCCTCACTCCACTCCACACTTTACACTCCACACTCTACACTTTACACTCCACACTCCACACTCTACACTCCACACTTTACACTCCACACTCCACACTCTACACCCCACACTCTACACTTTCCACTCCACACGCTACACTCTACACTCCACACTCTACACTTTACACTCTACACTTCACACTCTACAATTTACAAACTCCACACTCCTCACTCCACACTTTACACTCCTCACTTTACACTCCACACTCCTCACTCCACACTTTACACTCCACACTTTACACTCCACACTCCACACTTTACACTCCTCACTCCACACTCCACACTTTACACTCCACACTCCACACTTTACACTCCACACTCCACACTTTACACTTTACACTCCACACTCCTTACTTTACACTCCACACTCCACACTCTACACTCTACACTTTCCACTCCACACTGCACACCGGTAACAAGGGAAACATGTACAAGACTGTTCAAATAAACTATTGCAGAAAGGTATTGTGCGTGACTGCATAACCATGTGTGTTGACATCTGTACCATTAACATACGTGTGAGCATTCGGGTTCGTGGGCTTCATCTTGTTTTTATGGCATAAGCGTTTTATTCCCGAATGCGTAGCAAGGGTTCCCGTTTCACTCTGGGGGTCTGGGGGTTGAGGGTGTGTTCGCTCGACGTTGCGTCCGCGTCCGCAACCGTCCGCAACCGTTCGCAACCGTTCGCAACCGTCCGCAACCGTTCGCAACCGTTCGTACGAACTCCGTATGGCCGTGCCTATGGTAAGTTCTGCAGAGGTGGTCATTTTTGGAGGTTTCAGACGTGTCGTTGCTTCGTTTCGCGTGGCAGGCGTGGCACTTCGTGACATTCCGACGTGTTTTGCAACGTGTTGAAAGTCGTTTCGCGTGGCACGCGCAATACTTTTGCGACGTTTTCAGAAGATGTGTTGCATTTTTCGTGGCAGGTGCAGCACTTTGGACGCGTCCATCGTCATTTTTCGTGGCAGGCGCAGCACTTTAGACGTGTCCTTTTGCGTGTTTTTTGTCAATCGCATTGGCAGGGCTGCGTCAAGTGGCGACAAGGTGCAAATTCCGTGGCAGGCGTGGCATTTTGTGCGATGTGCTGAAAAATTTAACGGAAGCCTCGCACGAAACATCGATTTTGAGGTTGAAAATTTTCAGGTTCTAAGGAAAACTCGTAGGAAAACGTCGATTTTGAAGCTACAAAGTGTGAAAATTGGAGGAAGTCTCGCACGAAATGCTCGTTTTGGTGCTCCCACCTGTCTCGTCTCGAGTCTCTGGTTTTCCTGTGGCCTCGCCGTGTCTATGGGGGAAGCTGCAAAACTTGTCCTTTTGTCATGTTGCCAACTGTGAAAATCGCCGGAAGTCTCGCACAAAATGCGGGTTTTTCTGCATCCACGTGTCTTGTGTCGAGTCGCTGGTTTTCCTGTGGGTTCGCCGTGTCTATGGGGGAAGCCGCAAAACCTCTCCTTTTCGAAGGTTTCCAAGGAAGTTGTCATGTCGTTTTGCGTGGCAGGCGTGGCACTTTGTGACATTCCAACCTGTTTGATAATGTGTCAAACATGTCAAAATTGGAGGAAGTCTCGCACAAAATGCTTGTTTTTCTGCATCCACGTGTCTTGTCTCGAGTCGCTTGTTTTTCTGTGGCGTCGCCGTGTCTATGGGGGAAGCTGGAAAACCTGTCCTTTTCGAATGTTTCCAAGCAGGTTGTCATGTTGTTTTGCGTGGCAGACGTGGCACTTTGTGACATTCCAACCTGTTTGATAACGTGCCGAAAGTGTCTCTGGTTTTCTAGACACGTCCCCGTGTCTATGGGGGAAGCTGCAAAACATCTTCTTTTCGAAGGTTTCCAAGCAGGTTGTCATGTCGTTTTCCGTGCCAGGCGTGGCACTTTGTGACATTCCAACTTTACACTCTACACTTTACACTCCGCACTCCACGCTTTTACACTCCTCACTCCACACTTTACACTCCACTCTTCACTCTCCACACTCTACACTTTACACTCTACACTTTACACTCTACACTTTACACTCTACACTCTACACTCCAAAATTTACCTTTTAAATTCCACACTTTACACTTTACACTTTACACTCCTCACTCCACACTCCACACTCTACACTTTACACTCCACACTCCACACTCTACACTCCACACTCTACACTTTACACTCCACACTCCACACTCTACACTTTACAGTCTACACTTTACACTCTACACTCAACACTCTACACGTTACACACTCTACACTCCCCACTCCACACTTTACACTCCACACCCCTTACTTTACACTTCACACTCCACACTCCACACTTTCCACTCCACACTCTACACTTTACATTTTTCACTCCACACTCCACACTCCACACTGTACATTTTACACTCCTCACTCCACACTTTGCACTCCACACTCCACACTTTCCACTCTGCACTCTGCACTTTAAACTCTACACTGTACACTCCACACTTTACATTCTACACTCTACACTCCACACTTAACAGTTTACACTGTACACTCCTCACTCCACACTTTACACTTCTCACTCCACACTCCTTACTCTACACTCCACACTCCACACTCCATACTTCACACTCCACACTTTTTCCCGCATGCGTAGCATTTTACACTCCTCTCCTCACTCCACACTTTGCACTCCACACTCTACACTTTCCACTCTGCACTCTGCACTTTAAACTCTACACTGTACACTCCACACTTTACATTCTACACTCTACACTCCACACTTAACAGTTTACACTGTACACTCCTCACTCCACACTTTACACTTCTCACTCCACACTCCTTACTCTACACTCCACACTCCACACTCCATACTTCACACTCCACACTTTACACTTTACACTCCACACTCTACACTTTCCACTCCACGCTCCACACTCTACACTTTCCACTCCACACTGCAGACTGGTAACAAGTGAAATATGTACAAGACTGTTCAAATAAACAATTGCAGGAAAGTGTTCTGCGTGACTGCATATCCATGTGTTTCGACATCTGTAGCATGAACATACGTGTGAGCATTCGGGTTCGTGGGCAGCATCTTGTTTTTTATGGCATAAGCCACTTTTGATGGCAAAATTGCAGAAGCTTTCAAATTCAAGCTGTTGGGAATAGCACCTGAGTTTATTGCACTTTTGACTTGGAAATGTGCTTCGCACCACAACTGCCTGCACTTTTTCGACATGTCAACTTCCAGTCCGAGAATGGTGTTTTGTAGGTTTTGACTTCCAAATGGTCTTCGCGCCACACCGGCGTGCACTTTTTCGACATCACAACTTCCAAAAATGTTCAGAACCTGGTGTGTTTTGTACATTCTGACTTGGAAATGTGCTTCGCGCCACAACGGCGTGCACTTTTTCGACATCCCAACTTCCAAAAGTGCTCCAAACGTGAGGTGTCTTTAGCTTTTTCGCTTGCAAATGTGCTTCGCGCCACAACGGCCATCTCTCATCTGGCCAGATGGCTCCGCACCCGCCGCTTTAGCGAGCCTACTTTTCGACCCTCCGGAGCCTCAAATCCTTGGAAAAACACAGTGAATCGCGACTTTCCTACCTTTTCGCGCGCCTACATTTTCTTTCTTCTCACTCTTTCTCTTCTCTAATCTTCTCTCTTCTGCTCTTCTCCTCTCTGACTGTGACTCTTCCCACCTCTGCTTTTCCATCTGCCCATATCGTCGGAAGTTTGACTGCTAAACTTCCTTCGATAAGCACACATATCAGCTAGTATCTATTATTAAGGACCAAAGAATCTTATTCTCCAAGTGTTGAGAAGTTGATGCCCTGCTCATAGGGGATGGGTCAAAACCTAGTAACGACGATTCACAGCTTTCTTTTAGGCGGCCCTGCGAGCCAGTCGCGTCGACCTGGGGCCGCGCGGCATTTCCCAAGTTGCAAAGATTATGGCGACTGGCGATCCGAATTTAGGCAGCTTGGCGTGCCAAGATTCTTCCAAATCACGCTCTTCTAGCAAAGTCTGCCGCAGAGAATTACAACATATGAATATATATTGTAGATAGCACATCCCGAAAAAAAGAGAGGTTTCTGAACATAGCCTGCATGTGATCATCCCACTATCATCCAAACACTATCGGATGCATCTTGGAGGATGATGCAAGGTGTCCATTATGATGCCTTGGCACGACAAATCAGCAGCCCGCAGATGATCAACTATTTGGAAATCTTAAGACAGAGCTTGAACCGCAGGAGCGATTTCCCGAAGTCAAGATGTCCAGTTTTGGATTCAATTATCCTATTTCCTGCCTCCAATGGCTGGTTCCAGTTGCAAGGTCAAGCTTCAGTCCTTGCGAAGGGTGCTGATAGGCTGGGCTTCACCATCAACAATGGCATTTTCGGAGGAAACTTGCCGATTTACCAGTGGATTTTGGGCGTGCCCCCTTTTCAAACAAACCCACGCACACATGGATGATGATGATGATGATGATGACTGATGATGATGGTGATGATGGTGATGATGATGATGGCTGATGATGATGATGATGGTGATGGTAATGATGATGATGATAATGATGACAATGATGATGATGATGATGACTGATGATGATGAAGATGATGAGTGATGCTGATGATGTTGATGATGATGATGATGACTGATGATGATGAAGATGATGAGTGATGCTGATGATGTTGATGATGATGATGATGACTGATGATGATGATGATGATGACTGATAACTGATGATGATGATGATGCTGATGATGACTGATGGTGATGACGATGATGACGATGATGACGATGATGACGATGATGACGATGACGACGACGACGGCGACGACGGCGGCGACGACGGCGACGAGGGCGGCGACGACGACGATGATTACGATTAGGATTACGCATACGCTTACAATTGCGATTACGCTCGATTATGATAATGATGATGATGATGATGACGATGATGACGATGATGACGACGATGGCGACGACTGCAGCGACGACGGCGACGACGGCGGCGACGACGACGATGATTACGATTAGGATTACGCATACGCTTACAATTGCGATTACGCTCGATTATGATAATGATGATGATAATGATGATGACGATGATGATGACGATGATGATGGTGATGATGACGATGATATTGATGATTGATGATTGATGATGGTGCAGGTGATGGTGATGATGATGATGATAACGATGGTGATGGTGATGATCATGGTGATGATGATGATGATGGTGATAATGGCGATGATGATGATGGTGATGATGATGATGATGATTGATGATGGTGATGGCGATGATGATGATGATGATGATAATGATGACGATGATGATGGTGATGATGATGATGATGATGATGACTGATGATGATGCTAATGATGATGATGACGATGATGATGGTAATGATGATGATGATGACTGATGATGATGATGATTGATGATTGATGATGGTGACGGTGACGATGACAATGATGATAATGATGGTGATGGTGATGATCATGGTGATGATGATGATGACGATGATGATGGTGATGATGGCGATGATAGTGATGATTGATGATTGATGATGGTAATGATGATGATGATGATGATGATAATGATGACGGTGATGATGGTGATGATGATGATGATCATGATAATGATGATGATGGTGATGATGGCTGATGATGATGATGATGACTGATGATGATGACGATGATGATGATGATGGTGACTGATGACGATGATAATGATGATGATGATTATGATGATGATGATGATGACTGATGATGGTGATGATGATGATGATGACGATGATGGCGATGATGATGATGATAATGGTGATAATGGCGATGATGATGATGATGACTGATGACTGATGATGATGATGATGATGACTGATGACTGATGACTGATGACTGATGATGATGATGATGATGATGACTGATGACTGATGATGACTGATGATGACTGATGATGATGATGATGATGATGATGATGATGATGATGACTGATGATGATGATGATCATGATGACTGATGATGAAGATGATGATGATGATGATGATGATTCAATTTTTCCATGAACATCTCCATGGACAAGGGTTGGATACCCCTCCTGCAGGTTCAATGGTCGACCGGCGGCGGCCGCCAAGAGTGCCACCCGGCCGGAGGCCAAACGAGGCGCAGTGGTGCTGTGATGGTTTCGAAGTCCCAAACAAATCCAACCGATTCGCATCCATTCGCATTTTGTTTGACATTTTTTGTGAGTTGCATCAACTTACATCCCAAATCTCCCAGATGCCTGTTGGTCCCTGAGTTTCACAATTTTTGCTGGTTGTATCTCCCAAAAATGACTAGCTGATGAAATGCCCTGAAAATTAACACTTGAGCCTAGCCCCGCAGCGGTGTGTAGGAGCTAGCAGTTCGGCTCTGAGAGAAACTGGTGCGGCTCTTGCCCAAGGCAAGCGCTTGACTGGGGACAAAAAGGTGCTGCTGGAGAGATGGTTGGGGAAAGGCAAGGTGAATAGCTGGACCATTCCAGGTTTGGGTGGATTGTTCTGTTCATAATCTGTTCAGTTTAGAAGTGTCCTGTTAGTTGAATCTCCGAGTTCCTTCGTTTTCCACGTTTTTCTGCAATTTCTCCATTGTTTCTCATGAAGTCGTCTTGGTTCAACCCGGTTTTCGGTATTGAAATTCTCATTTTTTCTGGGTCCCCTTTTGTTGTCGCTTCAATCCATTTTTCCTGCCGCTTCAAATCGTCAGTTTTACAGTAGTTGCTCTCTTTTTCAATGAACTTCCCCATGATTTTGAATTTGTTTCATACAGTCTGGTTTTCCACTTTTCATGGGCAATGTTCCAATTTTTCTTCACCTTCTTGTGGGCAAATCTCTCATTTCCCATGGATTTCCCCAAAGGATTTCCCCAAGGACCTGATGTCGCAGCTGGAGCGCCTTGAAGAGCTTCGCCCCGGCACTGCCAAGCGCCTGAAGGTTCGATCAGCAGATTATGACATCATCCCTCTGAGGCTACCCGGAGACCTGGATTTTTGCTGAATCTGAAGATGATTTGTGATGATTTCAGTGGATTTTTCCTGACATCAGACATCCACTACTGAATTGGACGCAAGAATAGGGAGAACATGTCCAGTGGTTTGGAGGGAGCTGTTTAGAGCTATCAGTCCAGTTATTGCCATCTAAATATGAGGCCATGAGTACACCATTTTCAGACAATCCCATATGCGAAAACATGCGGTTTGCTGGGACTTTTTTGTCGGATGATGGAAATGAGATGATCTGTTTGAATAAAGCGAATCACGACTCTTACTTTGCAACGCACATGGATAGCAATAAGCTGAATGGGGTTAAATCATGTTTGATTATGGGACATGACATAGTGGGAATATAAGGAGATAGAACTAACCAGCAATATGATATTTGGGGCTGAAACTTCCGTGTTTACTCCCGGTTTTCGGCCATCAAATGATCAGAAGACTGTTGGGCTTGCATCTGGAAGGTTGGGGATCCAGCCAAAAACCCAGAGTTGATGAACATGGGATGACTTGGGATGACTCTGGTCTATTTTGGATTGATTTTGTTGTAGCAGTCTGAAAGGTTCCAATAGGATTTACCCACGGCTTGTTGGATACATCCTGGGGTCCTGGGACTTTTCCCATCCGCGAGGAAGCCGTTCGGAGCATCGGACTGGTGGAGGAGGCAAGGATGGAGGCAACAGCGATTTTGTTGGGGAAGTTTAGGGGTTTCTTTGTTCTCATTGTGGGATAAACAACAGTAACATATGGCAAGTACCTAATAAATCCTAATAATAGATGGCAACTAATGGTATGTAACTAACAATATAGGAAAACAATGGTAAATAAGGGTAGCTATATAGTTATAAACAATGGCACGTAATTTATTGGGAACCAATGATAACTATCGCCATTTCGGGCCGCCAAAAACATCACATCGTTGATGTGGAGTCCTCCCAGGTGGCTGGCCGCACGCGGTGGCTGAGACTCCGAACTTCAGGCTTTTTGTCCCCAAGCTGGGGATATCAAAGAAGGGGTTGACCCGGGAGGATTTGGGGGAAAATCATGGAAAATCTGCAGGGATTCACAAGAAACAGTTTGGGGATGTGAACTGCAGGACTACAGGATTTTTCACGGTGGATGGTGGTTTTGTTTTCACGATACCCGAAAAAACGTGCCATCGCAGGCTGGCTGGCCAGAGCCGGAGGTTGCTTCTTGCTCCTGCTGGTCGCGGCTTTCTTCGTGGAAAGCTCAGTGTGGGGTGAAAAGATCCTGAGATTTTCTAGGTTTTTTTGACTTGATTCTCGATTGGTCATGATCAGTCACGAGTAGATTAATCACTTGTTGACTTATCATTCTTGGTTTATTATGATGGTTTTTAATATTTTATCATTATGTCGTGATTTTATTAGTAAAGACCCTTTAAGAATCTAAAGAGAATCTTTCCCCAGTGAGTCTGGCTCGCTGTGAGGTCTACAGAAGTTGGTCAGGAGCAGCGTTCGAGCGTTTGGGACAGCCGTTTCGTGATTGGCTTGGCGACTGCACACAGAAACCCAGGTGTCAGAAGGCCATTTTGTGAGAGTGTCAGCAATGATTTTTCAGTGAAGGTTTCTTTTCAGATGTCAAGACTGCTTGGTACACTTTCACACCATTGATTGCTTTTTTTTTGCTGTCAAAAGATCCACCTACTAAATGGTCGATCTTAAGGGGGAACACATCTTTGGCTATCACAAGTGCAACGCTGTCACTTAGCTCTGGGCCCAAGCAGGTAAGTGCCCTTGGGTTGTCAACTGCACCTGCTCGCCCAAGACCAAAAGGGGCCCTAGTGGTGAAACATTTGGGGACCTCATTTTATGGTCCCATCTCATTGAAACTTCTATAGCAGCACAGGAGCCTGCAGAGTCCAGATCAGTATTAAACTCCAATAGCCACACAGTTTCATCCTGCCAGAGGTTGCATCACTCCCATAGCAATCTCTTGAACCATCCCCAACACATTTGGACCTGCCATGGTCTGAAGGAGGTGTGGACAGTTGGGATACTGGAAGATGTGATGCCAAGATCCCCCAGTATAGGCGTTTCCCGTCTGAGTTTTTTCATTTTTTTTTCAATCATCCGGTTTGGGGAAAATTGTTTTTCTCAGGTTTGAGGAGAGGAAAGATCGTAGCCATCAGATTTAAGTAGAAAAGATATATACTGTGACCATCTGGGACCAGTTTTCAGATGGAGGTGACCAACCAGAGTCAAATCAAGTCCAATTTCCCAGCTGTGTCAATGGTTGTGACTGATCTCAAACGACTGTGTTTTGGCGTGGCCACCCTTGGTTTGGCTGAAGCATGTTGGCCACAACTGCTTCTCCTTGGTGCCCAACCTATTGACGCTACTCATCCACCTTGCAGGGTTCACTTTGAATTCCACATCCCCT